AATACTGTATTCAGACCATCCTCTGTGATAACACAACAAATTAAGGGATTTTCTTGCTTTTATCGCTCTTGCTTGGCTTTAAATACTAATTTCTTTCTTTGGTGCAGGTTTTACTTAAATTGAAAGGGGCACTGCTGCATGTGCCTTAAAATAAACGATGCAACATATAAATCTATGTAAAATGTAAATTGTTGTCTTGGCTTATTGTTTTCAGGTGCTTCCTGGGCATTAATCCTGAGACGGGCTCGAAAGCCAAAAAGAGGCATGGCAATTTAACCCCCATGTCAGCACATTCTTCAGAAAAATGGTTGACTTCGAGTGGATGTCTGTGTAGACATGTGTTAAGTGCTCCCCGCCTTGTTTTCTTTTCTGTCTCCCTGCTGCCCAGGTGCACCTGGTCTGCCCCTGGCTCCGCCTCTGCCCAGGTGCACCTGGTCTGCCCCTGGCTCCTTCTCCTCCAGCTTCTCTTTATATATACAGACGGCTGAGTGGAATTTGGAACACCTGGGCAGAGGCGGAGCCAGGGGCAGACCAGGTGCACCTGGGCAGAGGCGGAGCCAGGGGCAGACCAGGTGCACCTGGGCAGCAGGGAGACAGAAAAGAAAACAAGGCGGGGNTATTAAAATATTTAAAGTTGGAATAAAGTATAAACTACACAACACAAGTATAATGCACAGCAATCCATAAGAGAAGTCCGATATGTTCATGAAAACTCCCCAGGAGACACCAACACAAAGTGGCCGAGTGGACTCCGGAGTTGCACTGTATGATCTGTGGTGTAGTGGGCTGTCACTCAAAAACTGAGCAGCCAATGGGGACACACCCCTGAAAGTCCCGCCCACATGTTTGTGTCAAAATCGAAAACAAAAAATGAGGGAGCGCAAACAGAAGAGCTGCAGCGAGAGAAAAAGTCTGATCATTGAGAAAGAAGAAACAAGAACGGCAAACAAATACCTATAGTTTACATGATCACACAAATGATTTGTTTGCAACTTATAGTTTTATTTTTGAATTTTTTTTTATTTTGCTTGACTCAGTTTCTTTTTCTTTTAAACTCATAGTTTTGCTTTATTCTGAGAAAGTGTTGCTTTTTCTTTATGATACAAAACTAATCCCATACTTAGTTGAAAGCCCAGTGGCGATCTGTTCATCTGTCCTACTCCTCATACAGTCAATAACTTTGTTGTTATTAGCATCTGGTTAGCTAGCTATGCTAACGAATATAAGAAGCTTTTTCTACAACCAGTCACCATCATTATAGTTATACAAAAATAAGAGAATAAAGTAAACTGGTATAAAATACTATATTACAAAAAAAGTTGATATTAATAAACAAGAATACAGTTTAAAAGGGGAGTGATTTGTAAAATATCCATAAAGAAAAAGAAAATCTGCTTACAGTTCTGTTTCATATGGGCGTTGAAAGATGTATCCATAGAGCTCCTAATGTTGCTCTCAAAGTGCACCAGATTGATGCTTTTAACTTCAATATTTTAAAAAAAATCTTCCCGGGGGAGCATGCCCCCCGGACCCCCCTAGAGGAGGTGAGGTCTCCCCCTCCACTTAAATCTTGTCCACATGGGTAGGAAACTAAATACATTTGCACACATCTTGTGTACATATCTTTCTGTTTTGGTGGTCATGCCACAACCGTGCACGTGCATGCATGCGCGAGTCATGGTAAGATATCTGGATTAAGAGGTTGCTTTTTATTTGCACAGCATGAAAGAAAGGCCAAATGAATGGGCTGTGATTTTAGTATTTTTAAGCAGAGGTCAATAATTGTACCGTCCTTGGAGGATGTTGAAAAAATGTAAATGGCCCTTGAGAGGAAAAAGGTTCCCCACCCCTGTCTTAGATTATCTCAATTATTTTCAACAATTCTCAAACCTAGAGAAATGTGTAGTTTCCATTTATACTCAAAACATCCAACTGAAAGAATCTTAACGTTATTTTGAGCTTGTCATGAAGTATCGTGGGATTGTCTTTTTCTTCAGCTGTCAAGAAAAAGACAATCCCAAGATACTTCATGATAAGCTCAAAATAGTTTTTTCATTATTTTGACCAGTGCCACTCTTCCGGACTTCTCTACTTCCAAGCCATTTTTATTTTAAAACTGTTCATATTGTGTTGACGTTAAGCCTTCAACATAGTTTTCCATTAACTTGATGATGCATTTACCCATTTGCCCTATTAGACATATAATAGGAAAATAGAACTTGTTCTTCTCTAATTTTTAAGCAGGAGTCAACTTATTCGCAGGACCACACTTGAGTCATGCCAGCGCGTTTTCTGCTCCTGAGTGTATTATTTCTAACATCTTGACACATGTTGAATAGTTAAATGGTTCTTCCTCCGTTTATACACAGTCAGCATAGAGAGACAGAGGATGTCAGTGAGGGAGAGAGAGGCTGTTAATGGATTACATGGATACTACACTGAAGAGGCCTGAAGTTCTTTCAGCACCTGTGCTCGAAGAAGTGCTTCGCAGGGAAGTGTCCATGTTGTGATGTTTGAGCTGCTATGGATACGTACTAAATCATTCAACAAACTAAACATAGTGTGGAGTTTTGGGATTACATACTAGCGCTGACTTTTTTGCCTATGATCAGCTCAGTGAAATAAAATGACAGTGTTTTAACAGTATACTGCAATATGATGATAATAAAAAGTCTTCCTGTTGCAGGTTTTGGAAGACGGATGGTGTCATGTATACAAATTACACTTCAACATCAAAGTGTGTTGGGTTTTTCAATGAGTCTCTTTCAAGTCTGAGATGTGCACTTCCTCCCTCAGATCTGAATACGTTCACACCTCCATGTGAAAAAAAGAAAAACGGCACTTGAAAAAGAAGCTCTCCTATTTGCGAAATCACAGCAGATGGACGGACTGATGTGCAGGCTGTACTTTACTTTTCCCTCATTACAGGTTATACAAAGTAACACTTTATTGATGTAATGATTCGGATGTTTGAGATTTTAAATCACAGTGCATCTTCTGGGTGTCTCTGGACTGTAATTATGTATTTCAAAGGTCTGTTTAAAGCAGAAATGGCTCACACTCAAAGGCGATTTACTTTCTGGGAGTGACAATTTACCTGTCCATTACCACAGCTAAAGTGGCTCTGCTATGATACAAAAACCACACTGTAAAATGTTTGGCTGTAAAATTACAGTAAATTACTGTCTACTAGTTGCATGGATTTCACAGTAATTTACTGTAAATATTTCACAGTAATTGACTGTAAATATTTCACAGCAAATTAGAATAAAAGTACAACTAAATACTGCCCATGGAATTACTGTGATATAGCAGTAGAGCTGTGTTATTATGTTACCTTGCTGTACATAAATTACAGTAATTACCTGTATTTTCACACTTTTATTGTCGAAGTAATTTACTGTAAATATACAAATCTAAATAATACAATAATATATTGTAAATTTGACTAGTTAACTGGGATTTTACCATAGCTACACAATTCAATCAGCTCAATCAACAAAGAAAAACAAAGAAAATGCCCATTTTAACTTTGTATTACTCCATTGAAGTGCAAAGTACATTTCACAGTGTCTTGGACATGTTGTTACGGCTCCAACCTCTACTCCGCGGACCTGACTCGTGCTGAGACCCGCAACATGAAAGAATACACGCAATAACCGGTACTTGGTAACGAGCATTTATTGATAATCAGCCGTTTGCTCACACAAGCGAAACATGAAACAAAAAGAGGTCTGCAGGACTGGCCAAAAGGAACAAACAGAAGGAGGGAACCCGAGCCAGCCACACCACGGACCGTAGGACCCAGAGCTTTCCCCTCTAACCAGAAATCAATTATAAACCCTATGGGAAACAAAATAAAGCAGCGAAAACTGGACTACCAGGTCCTCCAGGCTAAACATAAACACATCTGCAAAAATATGGCCTACAGCTCAAAATGGTAAAGAGGTATTCTAAGGAGAGTGTCTCNTTTTCATGAACATATCGGACTTCTCTTATGGATTGCTGTGCATTATACTTGTGTTGTGTAGTTTATACTTTATTCCAACTTTAAATATATCGAGACGATATTAGGTCTCCACGATATGCCTTTTCAGAGATATCATATCTATCGTGATACAGAGAGTCACTCAGTCATAGAATGTGCACTCACTGTGAGTGCTGCGAGTGCACCAGGGTAGGATTTTCACATGGCCCTTCGGTCTGGCCGTGAAGCCCCAAAAAGAATTGTACGTCCTACGGCCTCCATGGCCTGTGTGCCCCTGATACTGTTAAAATCTCGAAGTTGCTTTAAAAGCGTCAGAACAGTGTTTTCTGAACTAGATTATGCTGCGTTCACAACGGACGCGATGCGAATACACACTTGCCAACCCTCCCGATTTTCGCGGGAGACTCCCGATTTCACTGCCCTCTCCCGGTTTTCTCCCGGGGTCATATTTCTCCCGATTTCTGACAAAATCAGATTTACTCAGGACTGTTTCCACCCTGACTTTAATACAGCTACACCATTGTTTGGTTTCCATGGTAACACGTCTCTTTAGTAGCGCGCGCAACTCAAAGTCTGAGAGGGTGAGGCAGATAGTCACCGAAAACAGAACAAGAATCGACAACTATACTCTACTCTCTGCTCACTCCTTTCCTGGTACAGGTCCAGCCCACACATATGCTCCATCAAGGATGGTGCTACAGGCCGCAAGGCATTGCACTTAGATTAACATTAAAATGCTTATTGTAGTTATTGTAGTTCTAACAGCTCCGGCGATCCACTAGCACCCCCCCTCCCCATTTTTCCCGATAACTGAGGTCTCAAGGTTGGCAAGTATGCCTTCACAGCGATACACCTGTAATGTGCAATATATACACTTAATCATAATCATTTTTATATGCATGTTTTAGCCATGGATGAGCAAAAATATAAATGAAAGTTTATTTTGAAAGATTCCTCTTCTCCTCTAAAGTTAACGCACACTTTCCGCTGCGCAGCTCCACGTCGCCCCCTGCTGGTCGCAGCCATTGGTCGCACAGAAACACCTGATGTTCTGGATCTTTCTCTGGTTCTGACGGCCTGCAGACTTCGACCCGGCTGCAGTGCCAGTCCAGGTCGGGGAAGCCGGTCCGAGCGTCCAGACGGAGCCGGACCAGGAGCAGGCGACCCAGAGGAGCCTCGGTCCGAACCAGAACCGCACACGACTGAACGGGACAGGAGAAGACATCGTTCAGTATACGGACACCAAGTGGATAAAAGAAGAACTTCAATTGGAAAAATAAACTCTTGTGAAGAAAAAGCCACAAAAAAATCCAAGACGGCGGCAACTTGGAACCGGCTCTTTCTTTTCTATGTCTTCATGAAACTCACCGACCCCGGCAGAAGTTGGCAGTCGCCCTTGTTCACGGCGATGGGCGGAGTCTCGCCCTCAGAGCCAATCAGATTGAGCCACAGGCGGCTGAAGGTCCCACAGGTGAGACCAGGTGAGGTGTGCACCGTCACCTCGAAATCCTGACAGGAAGCCATCTTGACGACGAGACGAGACGCTGACCAGGAAACAAACCACGTAAACAACCTTAAGACTGTTAGCTTTATAGGCTAAGTTGTTAGCATGGCTGATTTTCAACCATAACGTGACTTATTTTAGATTGATGTAAATAAAACTCATGTTCAGGAGGTTATTTTACTCACTCTTTCTGTTTGTGTCTCTATATTTCTCCTGATAGTTCTGCAGATAATCAAATATACCAGGGAAATCAGAAAAAGTGGAAACAGGAAATACATTTTAACCACATTGAAACCAAATAGACGTCAGGAAGTACTCAGAAGCTTGGAGGAAGTATACTGGTGCCGGCTAACTGATTATGCTAACATAGAAGACTAGTATTAGCATTAATGTGGTTTTTAGTATCAACAATTCTTTCTAATAAGACCCACAAACAAAGAAGCTTCATAAACAAATCATTCAATAAAACCATAATCCCTGACGTTGATCTGGTGGTTAAAACGGTTAAAAACTGTTAAAATACTGTTTCCTCGCCTTGGGAACGGTCGCAATATTCAAAATACAAGTCGTTTTTTTTATAAATGGCCCCAGAGAAATGAACGTGGACTTGAATTTGGATTTGAAGGATTGTTCCAGCTCTCTGCAGCACTATAAACTCCCCGATTTAGCGTTACATGCCTTATCAGTTACTTAAACATGTCAGAAAACTTGTAATATAAAAAGTAACTGTGTTAAGGTCAGTAATGATGATGGGACGTTTCATTGTGATATCCGTTAGTTAATTTGTATTTAAACGTAGTGCGAGGGTTTATTAAATGCTCTTGTGAAATGAGTTTTGTCGGGGAATAATTCTGTGTACACGTTTACCTTTCGCCCTCTAACACAGATGCTCCACCTTGATCAGCCGCTATCTCCCTTAAGGAGGGGCTGGCCTAGCATTTTGTGGTTGTTACCAGTTTGTGACCGGGCAACTGTCGGTCAGAGATAGATATTGTTGTGGGACACCTGGAACACATTCTTCTCGGGGTGTAGATGACCCCGAGCCATAAGAGACAACAACTGTGATTCAGTGTCCTCAGCTGTTTAGTCTATCTATTGAAGAATGTTGATTATTACACTCTGAACTAGTTAAACCTGGAGCTACAGGAGGGCTCTTCAGAATTGATTGTGGCATCTCTACCGTGTGGTCAGACCGTGACACACCATCTCTTGTGAATTCTCCGGCCGAAGCTCCAAATAAACCGTCAGTGTTTGCCGTCAAAGCTCCAGCTCTCCTCGTGTCCCTCTGAGTCCTGACTCCCATTGCTTCAGGAGTTTTCCCCACAAGTTTTAAAGACCCTGTTCTTGATGTTGTATCAAAACCAAATGCTGTGGTGGTAAATCTATACCTG